GCATTCGCTATGCCAATTCAGATTATAATTCTATTTAATTCATCCTTGAGTTAGTTTTATATTTAAATATTGTTACTTCTTACTTGAAGTGAAATGTTGAGTGCCTGGCGCTGATGGATGGCTCGAACAGAAGAAGATCATACATGGTTCTCTATATTCTCTGCAGCCCAAACTAAAATTTGTGATCCAGTTTTATTATTTAAAAATTGGAACATATCAAAAAATAGTTGTAATCATTTTGATCTGATCGAACTACCATTTTTTTGAACACAACTGTACAATTACTACTTAGAAGAAGTGTGCGCGGTGTTAACTTCATATTAATATCTATCTGTCTACATCCATATGCACATTCTTGCAAACCTAAGTTATACCCAAATATTTTTTTAATTCCTTAACATATTTTAATCTGGTTAGCTTGTATTTTGTACATACATACATACATACATACGTACATATTAATTAATCATGCAAAACCACGATATTTCTAATTCTTGGTGGTTGGTGGCTCACCGCAAAATGCGCCGCTTATAAATTTTTAGTATGAATCCATTTCTGTGTATCAACTTATTGCTCTTTGTATGTATGTACATATAAATGAACATTAGACCGTATCATGCTCCATACAAAGAAAATTTGGTTTCCCTTCTTCGAGCGCACGGCACAATAAACAACTGGTGAAGCAATAAGTCAGCATTCTCTGTTCATTTTCTGGCATTCGACTGCGTTATATTTTACAATGGGCGCGTTCATAAGATGTAGCTGTTGGGTAACCGTTGGCTATTTATCTCAGAAACGCACAGTTGAGTTGTTCCGCTCAGCTCAACAGTTGGAAACTTTCCGCCATTTTTTGCAGCTGAAAATTTTTACGCTACCTGAACTCAACGTGTTCGGCTTAGCCTAAACAGCTGATCGAAAAGACTTACGCCGCTTATATTAAATTTTGCGCCGCTTTGTTAAGTGCAAGTAACTAAAATATTTTATAATAACACTACGTTTCTAAATATATGTTTTTAAGATGTTTGCTATATAATTGCACACTGTTTAATTCATTATAACATTGAACGATTATTTCAACACGGCGGCAGCTTAGCGTTGAATTGTGAATACTATCGGCGCAACTATCTCTATTTATTGC